GTTTTTGCTACCCGCATAAAACCCGCAACAGGGTATTTCCTGGTGATGCAGCCCGCTTAAGTCCATGTGGGTTTTGTTTACCCGCTCATTGCGGGCTGGCGGGTCGAAAAAGGGCACCTCTACTGGCAATCGTAAGCGCCTCGATGGGTCACAGTGACACTGAGACGGGGAAGTGCACGCATCGTTGTTAACTAGACCAAGGCAGTTCCCAGCCTCTTCTTCATCAGCCGTGGGTTAATGTGCAAGAGTTGCTGGGCTAAACTAATATTGTGCAAACATATATGTACGTATGGTATGTACTATGTAGGTAGGTATAACTGTAAACGTACCCACTACCCAGCCAGCGAGCAATTTGGTTTGGCTCAAGTCCGTTTTGGCCCGGCAACTCCGACATGCCAGATTTGGGCCGGTGTAAACGGAACGCCGTCGGAACCGGGGTTTTGGGTCGATATTTTTGGGTCGATATGTCGCCAAAATTGGGTCGATATGGCTTTATTCCGGCTAGCCAGTCTTTGCTGTAGCGCTCTGGAGTTGGTATGGTCTCGGACTGCCATGTTTGGCTCACGTCTGGCTCCCTGCCATGGCGTGCTACGGCCAGGTCCGCCTGGCGCCTGCCTCGTAGCTGCTCTGGCTTACTATGACTAAAGTAAGGTTTAGGTACAAGTTCGGCTGTGGTGCAGGCGAGATGCATGTGGGATCGTGTGTCAGCTCGAGTAGACCTCCAGAGCTTGCCCGTACTTCGGCCTGAGTAAGTACGGGAGTCAGCCAAAGTGAAAACCAGATACGGCCCAGACCAATTTTGCCCGCCTGGGTAAGTATGGGCAAATGCGTAGCATAAAGATACCGCGGTAAATGCCGTCAGCGGTTGCGAATTACATCCGAATGCACGAGTGGTAATAAGCACTGTATAGTGTATAGTTGTGCAGTACGTTTATTTGCAATTAAACAATTGACAATGTTCAACATCAAGCAACACGCAACCACTTATCGTGTACCGCTATACAAGTCTGGCCACAGCGGCGTAAACAAAACGGTAAGTGCGAACAGCAGCGGGACAAAATACGGTAGGCACCCGGTCAGCGATTACCACTCAGCCGCCGCACTCTGAGCTCCATCCAGACACTTTCTCTCGCCCGATGGATGACACGTCCCACACGGCCCACACGCCCGGCTTGTGAAAAGGCTGATATATGGCCGGGCAGGCCAGCTGCCGGCGAAGGTCTAGTAATAGCCGAAGTCGTCGTACGGTGAGCCGTAGCCCCCGTAACCGTAACGCCTCCCGTAGCCGTAGCCGTAGCCGTATCCTCGTCCGTAGCCGCGTCCGTAGCCGCGTCCGTATCCGTAGTTGTGGTACCTGCTAACAGTGACCCGCTATTCCGTAAAATTCTTATTCGGTTAAAACTGTTATGAGACATGCATAAGCACAAAACGCTCGATAAGGATTATGAAAATCAAGGGTTAGAGGGGGACGAGGGTTTTAGCTTCTTACTAATGTATCTAAAGCATAAAAAACACTACCTGATAAGAAGTTACAAATATTGTACAGTATTGGTAAACATTGACAGACATCAGCCCTAATAAAATTATAAAGGCGTCGCGTGAACTGCCAATTTTTTTCTCCACCGTGTCTCGTATTTAAGATCTAATATACGACCCCGGTCGGATAGGGTCGTCAGTCAGGTGGGGCCGGTCGTGTCGGCCGGCCGGTCGGCGTTGGGCCGGTCGGCCGGTCGGGGCGGGGACGGTCGTCAGTCAGGTGGGGCCGGTCGGCCGGTCGGGGTGTCCTCGGCCGGTCGGGTAGGGCCGGTCGTCGGTGGGCCGCTGACCTGGGTCGGTAGTAGCGCGGCCTGAAGAACAGCTCGGCACCCTGCAGGTCACCGTCGGCTGTGTCGGCAGGAGCGTCCATTGGAGCCGCGGCACACACGGCCGACAGCGCTAGCACGAGCAGCACAACACTCTGCGGCGTGGCGACACGGTCAATACCTTCACCAGGGCAGAGAAGTGCCGCACAGCAGTAAACTGACGCGTCAAGTAAAGCACATCGAGTATGAAGTGTGAGGATCGAGAACACAGCACGTGAAGTCAGTTATTTTGATCGTTGAGAGACGCCAGAATAGTGATTCACAGCATGAAACTCCTTCACAAAAGAAATAAACTTAAAACTTTGCATCATGCGCAAATGACATGCTTCTATAGAATTCGAATGGAAATCAAATATTTAGCCATTTTCAAGTTAACGGTCTCACTTACAAGCTTCATGTCGATCACAACTTGCAGCGAGTCTCCAATCAGATGGTTTGCGCGTTCCAGCGAGACTCGGCTACTTATATACCTTCCGAATTCCGTGCCAGTCAACCGGTTGGAAATCGTGTTTGTATGCGTATAGTGCGTGTGTATTCCCTGCGCTTGTGGTGGCCCTTCTATTTCAAGCACGAGGACGGGGTCCTCTCGGGCAGGGATTGCACAAGCTGCACGATAATCTCGAGAGTCCGACAGGGGCACAGCGTGATCTCGGAAATACCGGCAGCAAAACACGTGGACCGGATGTGCGAGCCGATCAAAATAGCCAGAGATGCTCGCCAGCGGTGTCCTCCGGACCGCGGCAGTCGGCGGCCGATGATTCGTCAGTGTCGATACAAGATCAATGAGGGGTGGAGAGAACGGGATATTTTCATTGTTCCCTTGTTTGGGAGATGGTAAGGTTTGTTGAAGGATCGAGAAATTATATATAAAAAAAATCAGAAATAAGCTGCCAAACTTAAATTTAATGTGGACTTGGATTCCTAAGCATAATATTGAACGTTACTTTAACCCGCGCCCCGTAGGGGGGGGGGCCGAAACGGCCCCTCCCTGTCCTTTTCGGTCGATATCTCCTAAACGGCTGGAGATATCGCCACCAAACTTTCAGGACCCCTCCGGGCATCAATTTTACACATTGTGACCAAAAATTTTTCCAGAGGCTATGATAGGTTGGCCACAAATGACGTCAGAGTGACGTCATGTTCTGTCATTTTCGACCGAAAAAAGACCTTCGCGAGAAGACCTGTCCGGACTACAGCTTTGAAGATACAGAAAAATGATCAAGACATAAAAAGTGTAGAAGTGACAGGGCTACAAAACTGCTATCTCGAATTTTTGAAATTTTTGAGTTTTGACCCCCAAAAATCAAAAAAGCATTTTTTTGGATATATTCGCCAAAAAATCCAAAAGTTTTTTGAGTTTCGAAAAAACCGGAATATATGTGATAGTGCCTACCGTCTTCTATCTACATACCAAATTTCAGATCGATACCTCGTTTTTTGGCCAAGTTATAGCGAAAAAACTGTTCAAAAATGATGACGTCAAATTTTCAAACTCAATTTTTGGCAATTCTAGAACTCGTAGAGCAAAACGAAGACCACCATTAGACTCCCCGTGACGAGCTGCATCGAATCGATACCCATTTTATGCAAAAATATCAACTTTGAAATTTGACCTTATTTGACCTGACCTTGACCTGACCTTCACAAAAACGTGACCTAGGCTGGCCCCAAAGGCTGCCTAACCCACATAATCGCATTTGTCATGTAAAATGGACCATAAAACATGTATCACACGACACATTCATATTGTGACCCCCGGTGACCTGACCTCGCTGTGACCTGACCTGGTATCAGTGACCTCAGATAGCAAAGTATGTGTTTGACGAACAATGTACCATCGATGGTTTTCAATAAATTACCAATTTACTCGCTTTCACAGCACATTTCTTGAATTGCCTGTGAACGGTGAAAATCTGACCTTTGACCTGACCTGTGACGTCATCGGTTTGACCTAGGTCAATGAAATTTGGTCACAAGGTAGTTCCCGGGTGGGGCTATCGAACGCCGTTTGAATTTTGAAAATCGGCCGGTAACTTTCCGAGATCTTAGGGGGGGGCCGAAACGGCCCCTCCCCTACGGGTGGTAGGGTCCGCCGGTAGCCCTACGGGGCGCGGGTTAAGCTATACATATCAAAAGCCGAAACAAACTAAAAGTAGGGAAAAACAGTTGTATTTGTCGAGCGAGAAGCTCACCCTATAACAGCTCCTACGTTTAATGCATAAGGCATATTATGTAAACATCCTTAAAGGGACCCTCCCACCTTCAAAAAAGTTTATGAATTGGCATGAAAGTGATGTCGCTCGGTTCAGAAAGAGCGAAAACGAATATCTACCAAAATTCATCGAAAAATATTCACCGGTTTTCAAGATATTAGACTTTTACTTTTGTTTACTTTTTGGGATCTCCGCTGTTCCTAGCGACTTTATTTAAAAGTGCGGCATTTGTTGCGCGCAACGCAGCATATACCACGCGTGCTGCAAAACGTTTTAGTCAAACGTTTAAAAATCGTTAGATATCTGCGCTGACGTCACACATTCAGAGGGGTATTCCTATGCATTAGCCCCTCTGAATCAAAATGCTGCAATTTTGAAATTCAATATTTCCGATTTAAGGCATTTCTCGATGTTGTGAGTGCCGAAACCGGTAATTGTGAGCCAGGGACCCCATTTTGGCTATCTCAACTCAAATCAGAGGTGGGTGGGAGGGTTAAGGTGGGAGGGTCCCTTTAAAACCAGGGATGCGGAGCCGTGAAAAGTTCAGACGGCTCCGGCTCCGGCTCCGGGTGAAATGTCATGGCGGCTCTGGCTCCGATTAAATGGTCCGGCTCCGCCGGCTCCGGCTTCGGCTCCGACTCAGTACATCCCCTATGCGCAGGGATGCGGAGCCGTGGAAATTTCAGACAGCTCCGGCTCCGGCTCCGGCTTCGGAGAAAAAAACGGCTCCGGCTCCGGGTGAAATCTCATGGCGGCTCCGACTCCGGCTCCGGCTCCGGGCAAAATGTGCCGGCTCCGGCGGCTCCGGCTCCGGTTCCGGCTCCGGCTCCGTACCCCTGCTTAAAACAGATCTAACAAAGGTTCATTATAGCCTATAGGTGCTTACAACATGACAAAGTTATCAGCTCCATCCACATGTAGGGGGTCACTGCTCAATCTTTATTGTCACGCTAAAAACACGATTTACTTAATAGGCATATGGTTTTCAACCATCTATTTACATGCGGGTAAAATTGAAGCGAAATTATGGGTAAAAAAATCCACTTGTTTTCGTTCGCGATCTTCTGTCTTCTGTACTGCATATGTGTCATTGCTGGCGGCTGGCGCAGACAGCTACATGCTCATGGATGAAGTCGCCGAAACAGCAGGTCGAGGGCCCTGGCCGAGCCGTCCATACAAGAAGTGAGTGACATGCCGAGTAGAAGGCTGAGTGCGCCTCCCACCTCTCCAAATAGCCTGCCGGACAGACAGCGGAGTCAGAACCGACTTACGTCCTCTACACTACCACCTTCGGCATCTTATTAATGCAGTGCTGTCATGTCGCATTACAAATAACTGCCCGCTATAAGGAATCTAGTTGAATTGGATAATACCATCTTATATCATTGACGGCCGCCAATAAACTGAGAGAGGCCTGCCCGATGCGAGAGATCGTTGCCGGTACTGACGTGAAGGAGTCGTAGACGAGTTTCTCGCGCGTCAGCTGGTAGAAGGTGTCGCGGAACGAGAGGGTGAGCACGGAGAGCTGGTGGCGCGCCAGCACCGGACGCTCGGTGCGCGAGAACGGCGTGAAGTGGAAAAAGTTGAGGCGGCACGGCTGCGGGCACTGCCGCTGACAGTCGGTGTCACGCAGCAGAGCAGAGTCCTGCGGGCAGGGCAGACTTATGTGGCTAATAGTCGTAGTAAAGAAAAAGATGCTTAATAATTATACACAGGTAGATATTAATTCGTATAGCGCACTTTATCTTTGCCGTATAAGTCATATACAGTGCGCTGCAGTCATCAGGCACGCAAAAGCATGCATGTTTAATTGGATGGCTATGCTATTGGCCCGTACCAAGTGCCATGCATTTAACCTTCAAATAAGCACAAATGGCAGTTCAGTGACCATCTTCACAGAATAATCGATTCACATTTATTATTCTTACTAATGAAACGTACCATTTATAGCAAGCTAGTGAATTGTGATGTTGCTATGCCGAGTCAGCTGAGAAATATCTCGGAGTGAGTTCTCTGAGAGCATGTGCGGCGGTTTTCCGGCCGCAGTGACGGCGGGCCGTCCCACAGTAGCAGATGCGCGCGTCCACAGGTGCCCTGCCGCACCCGGCCACTCCCCACGGCGGTCTGCGCTGACTCACCTGCTCGTCAACGTAGCTGGCCATTGTGTAGGCCTGGTCCGGGTCCTGGCAGGTGCTCCCCTCGTCCAGAAACCAATCCAGGCTGACGACATGAGACGCATGAACTTACAGAACACATCGCTCAGTGGCGAATCACAGCTACTGGAATCGTAGCGACGTGGGAAACAAATGAATCAAACGGCTTCAGTTCGTTCAACAAGTCCAGAAAATGTTCGTGTTCACTGGTTTACAGTTGTTAGCTATAGTCAAGAGTTGTACTTTCCTCGGGGAAATACACGATCTCACACATTCGAAGATACCTATAAGCTAAAAATTTGCCCATTAGCAGCTGTGGTCATGACTTTCATTTACAAACAGCTGCGCATAGCCTGTTCCACCTATCACATGGTTGTATCACTAGAGTCGGACCAGATGTAGCATGCCTACGTCACCCATCGCCAGTACGTCATTCACCGACATGCGTGAAGCCCACTGCCCAGTGACTGAGATCGAAAGCGACTGACCTCAGCTTACCACGACAGGAGCCAACACACCTTTACCTGACAGAGCTGCCCCGCACTCCACCCATTAATCTGTGTCTCCATTGGTGTCCAGCCTACCCGCAGCTGTAGTTGAGAGCCCGCCGGACCGCGCGCCCGAAGCAGCGGTTCAGACAGCTGCGCTGGTGGTATCCTGCGTCGTCACGGCACCGCTGCTGGTAGCCGTTGAGCCAGAGTCTTGGGCGCACGTTCAGCTCCACCTTCATCAGCGAGCCGAAGGGCACCTCCACGTTATTCTGGCCGTGCACGAAGAACGGCGTCCAGGCCTCCTGTGGGACCGGCGCGGGAGGTGTCGGTGGTACTATTACTATAGTCTGGCAAACCTAAGAAAGAATGGAGTTAAAAGGTCACTAATCTTACTGCATATTTGTAATAAATCATTGCAAAGAATACGTACTTACACCATCTGAAGAATCGTGCAAGTAAATGTTTAATTTTCCTTTTCTCTTGTCACCATCTGCAAATCTAAGATTGAAGAAATAACCATTAAATTTGATATGTCGTCCACCACGTAGGTATTTCTGAAACAACGAAGTGTATCGGTTCAGTTAACCCGCGCACCGACGGGGGGGGGCGGATACCTGCCTTCCCCCACCGCACCCCCCCCCCCCGATATCTCGAGAACGAAGCAAGCTAGCGACAAACGGCAAAAGGCATGGGATACAGACGGACAAGGTCTACAATTTTTACAGAATTTATGTTCAGTTCAGGTCAAAAATGACATCACAGGGGTAAAAAAGTCCAAATGTCGGCGCTACATATATAAAAAGAGTGAAGAGATATATGCGCTACATATGTGAAGAGAGCTTTTCACGAATAAGCGTCGAAGTGGCCAAGCTAGACACACATATATATATATATATATATATATATATATATATATATATATATATATATATATGTGTGTATACTGCGAGTACAATTAATTGCATAGGTAGGTATATTTCATAGGCATTATAGGTATGTTTACTCTGGGCATTATGGCATTATGATTATTTGTTTCATTTCCTCCTCACTAGCATGCTTACTCTGTCTACTTCTTTCCCTCTCCCCTTGTCTTCGCTACTCACGAGGGTAGGCGGTGTGGCACACTCTGTCCAGTTCCCTGATCATGCTCCACCGCACCGTTTCATCGTGGTCGGCAGCGCATGGCTTCGTCGAAATTCGACACTAAGAAAAAAGTCACAAAATGCTCAATATGTTGAAAATTGGGTCGTTGTGAATTATAGTTCATTCAAAGGCGACATCGAGCTCTACGATGAAAAAAGAAGAATATTCCTTGACGAATTTCCTTCGCTTCAATAGTCAGAACTCAGAAGTGACCGTTTTGACTAATGTCTGCAATCGCTTCCAAGTTCCAGCTAAATCAGGAATGAGGCGCCGAATTCGGAATGTTTGAGCACTTGACATCCCAGGCTCATTCCAGCATTTAATGGAAAGCGTAAAGTTATTTGATGTGCCAGTCGCAGTCACGCGGTACTCACATCTGTGATAAAGTCAGATCTTTTGTGGGGTATGGAGCTGAAAATAATCACACACGTCAGAGGACAGAAAACATCAATTTTAATGTTCACATTTGCATGATTGCTTGCTACATGACGCCATATATCGAATATCCTATAACGGACGAATTTAGTCAACGAATTTGGAGTCAAGTAAACACATCATAAACCAAATGATAAAAATCGGAACAATGGCATTACGTAAAAAATGCAGGGTATGTAGTTACATGTTGCATGCAACACATATACCAAACACTATTATGACTCTACAGCTGCAGCAGTGATGCTCACCTATTAAAGTCAATAGCTGTACACAATGTGACGGCAGGCAGCAGGAACCCTTCCTCGCCGAAACGACGCCACTCGAGAGATAACAAAGTGCTACTGCCGAGGTATTTGGAAACGTTCGCATGGATCTGAAAATAAATAAGAGTCTGAATGCATCTCCCTAGGCCTATACCTATAGACATGTATGTACCTAACAGGATGATGAGTCTGATTTCCCCATTTACATAATTGTAAGATAATCATTTATTCTGGATTTTTTTATTCAGACGTCAAAGCCTTGCTCTAGTAGCAAAATAGACATTTTATGTGCTATATCGCTTTATCGTTTGCTGTGTTGAATGATCACATATTTTCCCACGTATTTTAGCGATGACATCCTTGCATACGTTTCAATGCTGAATTCCAGTCCCACGCGAAGTGAGCGGAAATTAGAAGAGTCATATAATTAATGGATGATCGTTTCCATAGTCCATATTCATCGATTACACATAACTACTTATAAATTTCACTAAAACCAGAGTGACATTTACCTGTTCTGCCCAGCCCGTTTCCTTTAATCCCGTGTTGTGGTACCTGGCAGTGCAAAGCGACAGCGGCTCAAGGCACGGCAGGGGTGCTGACCACTCACCTCCAGCTGGCATAACTCTGATCTGGGAAACCGAGCCCCTTCACTTCGCGGCCTGAATGGGCATGGCTCGCTGGGCCAGAAGGCGCGTCATTCAGTTCACGATCTATTGTCCTCGGCAGCATTGCAGGTAACAGGAAAGACGCGTAACTGTGGGAGCCCATCAGTCTCCAGAGTCTTTTTGCAGTTAACATGTCGTGCCGGAAGCCAGGAGTCATCCGAGCCAGGCAGTCTGCCGCGGCGCAGTGCCCACGATCGCGGACTTTCCACCGTAAACGAATGAAGACGAGCGTTATCCACCTTTACGGATATGAATGAGCTTTTTCTGTATTTAGTTCTGCTTTAGGATTTAGGACAAGTTGATTTATTAGGCGAAACATGGGTTCATCGAAATAAGTGGTGGTTACGAATCTGAAATATCCGGAAAGTGTGTGTTGCGGCACAGTATTTGAAGCAAACGTGCGTCCCGGTGCATCTAACATAAACACAAACACAGCGCGTATAAGCAAACGATCAGACAGAAAGACGAGGGTAAATTGAGACACTCGGCGGACCACTCACCTGAGCTCCAAGCAATGAGAGGCACGCAATCAAGATGGAAAGGCGGAAAAGGGCTTCGAAAATAATCGTCAGACGGCTGGGTGAAGTCTGCTCCTGACCTTGTGGCATAACTCGCACTTCTGAAGGTACAATACTCCGTGGGGGAGCCATTCTCAGGTGATCGTCCTCAGGTTTAGGGGTCTTGCTGTTCCTTTAAATGCCTGGACGATAATTTTTGTTTCTTAGTCTACAGTCAAATGCTTTGCCTTTCAGCTGTTCTCCGTCAAGTTGCCCGTCTTTTCGTTCGTTTATCAGCCATCCGTTAATTTCTGTCAGAAGGTATTTAGCTTTCCGCTGCAGTCACTGCTTCAGTCACGGGGACGAGACGGTCAGCTCGCTCCTTCTTTTATCCTCCCATTCATGAGCTGATCGTCCGTTCACTGTCTGTCAGTCCGTGACTACGTGCCGTCCTTCGTCCGTCCACTGTATGTCCGTCCATCCACTGTTCGTCCGTCCAGTCCCGGCCCGTCCGGCCCGTCAGTCCGTTCACTGTATGTCCGTCCCGGTCCGTCAGTCCGTCCGTGCCGTCCCGGCCCGGCCGCACGCACTGCTCCGCTCGTGTGCCTCTCACCGCTGGGTTTTCCAGAGGCCGGACGGGTGGGTGGTGGCCGGTGGGCGCACCCCTCCGACCGGCCGGCAGGGACGGGCATCGATCAACCGGCACCGCGTGTCGTCCCAGCGACAGCCAGCCATTGTCTGCGCGCGTGGCAGGTGCGCGGGGCACTGGGACGTTCCCATGGAACTGGTGACGTGGCTGCACCGTCGGCCGTCAGAGCCGCCGGCGTCCCTATTCAAACTCAGTCGCCGACTGCCGCCGCTCGCGTCCCTTTGGTCCACAACAGCCATTCAAAGGAGCGTTGATAAACGATGGGACGTAGGCCAGCGGCCTCGCGCGGATCTTGCCGATAATGTACGGCTTCATCGAATGTCCATCCTTGTCCAAATGGTTAATTGCTGAAGACTTCATGAGTTCCCGCCTGTGAATCGCGCTGTAGGTCCCGATCGCTAGCAACACTAATGCACAAAACTCTAGGTACAGCATACATATTGCTGCAGGGCATTTTGCGGCCGAAGGATTTGTCACTAGGGGATAAATGATTAGCTATCTATTTGATTATAGCGATATTCGTAGCTCGGAAGGGCCTTAGCACGATACAACTTTCGGATTATTTCTTTTCTCGCCAGTATCCACCCCTACGATGACATTTGCATTGGTCCGGATACGGTAGGTATATGTTAAACGTTACACTAGAGTGGACATGAATAAAAACGTCATGGCCAGGTGTATGCTGACTAGTTTATTCTCAGCGTCAGTCAGGGGCTCAGGTGGGCGGCGGATTTCGTCGAGCAGTTTTCGCAGCACTGTGCGGATCGAGGCGAGGGGCGGATGTGGACGGGAAGGAAGTAGGATGGCCTTCCGAAAACCCAACACGTTTCGATTGAGGCAAGCGAGCACTTAGACCACGCTTCCGCTCTGGAACCAGGAGTGGCAGGATGGTTTCTGCCTACCGCCTAATTACATCTGTCAAACAACTTCCTTCGTCAGAATCCAAGCACACGCGGCCGTTATGAAGGAGTTGTCAGAACCACTGCACTGCATATTTTCCCTTGGTCTACCGCAGCGTTGGACTAATGGATAACCTAGTTGTTTTAGCTTTTTGCCGTGTCTGTCCCAGCCAGGTGTTCGGGAGCCGACAGAGGAACACCAGCTGGAAAACGTCACAGGCGTCACAGCCATTCGGCGGAGAATACACGCCCACGGTCGTCAGTCAGGGACCGACAGTCACACAGCCGTCAGACGCAATGGCACACCCGCCCCTGTCCGCGGTGACTGCGGCGGTCAACTGCCATTCAGCCGCCCCAAGCCACCGAGACCGCAGGGAGTCCATATATGAATAAAAATACCGAGGATCATTAACGACAGAGAGTGCTCGAGAGTCTTAAGATAATCCACCCGACCCCTAGTCCAGTTCATTGGCACAAATCATAAACCATGGAGGGGTCGGAGTATATTACGGGAGTATAGTCCATAAACTGGTCTCTGCTGGCCGCTGGGCGGCCGGCCGTGATCGGGAGACGACACGACAAACTATAACTACATATTGAGCAATCATTGCTTCAAACCATTAAAAACACTCCCGAAACGCATCGAGGTGTCATAGTCATGGGAGAGGGGTGTACAGCTGAGCCCTAGACGGCGGTCGGGAGCGGTTACAACCGGCGAGGACAAGGGACTGACGCCTCCCGGCAGACCAGCCGTGCAGAGCTAGCAGAGCCACCGGGACCGACTCCCCGTACCGCCGCGCCGGTCACTGCGCCCACTGCGCCGCAGCAACACACGCAGCACAGCGCCACCGACAGCCCATCCGTCCCACTCGGCAGGGATTACTGTCAGCTCACAACCCAGCCGGATACCTACCGGGGCGGCGGCGCTCAGAGCTTTACCGGACGTTTTTCGCTACCGAGTGGCTCTCACCGCCCCCTCTCAGTTAACACCGTTTCACGCGTGTCTATCGAAGCGCAATCACACGGTACAGCAGAAGCTTGGTGAGTGGCGACTACTTCTTCTATGTTCTCTGAACTCTGAACTCCCTGAGTACTAAACTGAGCTCTGAGAAGACAGCCGATGATCCCTTGGAGGCGCGAAATCGACCCAGGAAAGAATAGCAGGGTCGAGAATAGGGCGATCTATGGACTGGACTCGGGAGGATAGAAGGGATCAACTTGGGAGAGAATAGGACACTCCCTGCCCCCTGGTCTTGGGAACCTCTCGAAGACCATGATGGTCTCTGGACCCCTGGAGACAGGATCCTTGATGGTCTTAGAGCTAGGTGTCATCCACCGGTCGACTGAAGAACAGCTATTTGCATACCTTAACACAGGGCAGCTCTCGTAATTTGAAAGAATGCGTATTAAGTGGTTTGAACCCACCGACTGGTTCATGGTCGCATAAAGTGTGAAGCGATTTCACATTTTATTTATTTCATTTCACGTTAACACCAACCGGAATGGTGAATAGCGCTAAAATCGACTGAGCATAAGGCGATTAAATGTGCGAGACATCACACCACTATGTTATCTTCGTACTTTTACATGGCGTGATGATTGCATTCACGATATCGAATAGAAGTAGTTAATAATACCATGTGAACATCTGAACATGCAAACACACGACAGACAAGTTGACAGTTGGCAGTGCTAGTTGAATTTCTGTCCCGAGTGACTCATGCAAAATCAAACATGTTGAACTATGTTCACACCAGAAGTATCACAGACGGTTACTGAAAGTGACGACAACATGGCACATCAATGATCCACAATAGCAAAGGCACAATGATTAGCATGCTAATACTGCAATGTCCATAGCAAGTCCATAGTACAACAGCAACGAGTGCGTAGGTTTCTAAGCGCTTAAAGTTCATCAGTTGCAGATCGAAGCAACAGGCAGTGTACGTAAACTTTACAACTTTCTTCAAGGAGCCTCATTATGTGATGCGACATGTTTGAAACACTGCTGTCGAACGATTCATATGAATAAATCAAAAAGCTTTCCACTTTGTCGAGGGTAGGGCGCTCGGGCCGCATTGATCCCGACGTCATTACACCCAATTGCATTTCACTACACTTGATAGAACACAGTTAAAAAAAAAGCAGCTGTCAGGCAGCTTTTGCTAAAATGTCCAAGAACTCAAGTTTGCTTTTCTAATTTAAAAACATAATTCTAACAAATAGTGTTTTTACTTTTAAACAAAAAAAAAAATCGGTTGTGCCGATGGTGGAACTGGAAAAAATGTGCAAGAAGGTTAAAAAACGCAAACAAGACACTATCGACATATAAAAACTGAAATGCATGCATAAGCTATACAAACGCCTAAAATACCTCTATATCAATGCAGGTGTTCATACTTCAGGTGAAAGAAGCTCTAATTAATATTTATAAGAATAATAATCCTGATTTGCCCGGAAATTCGATCACAAATTAATCACAATTCAGTGATGGCAGGCACGCGATCGACATACAATACCAACATAAAACACGTCACGTGTTAACAATGACTGTCATTTACATTCCATCCTCCTGAAATGCTAGAGAGGGAAACTGATCGGCCCACAATCACGAGCGGTTGCCGTCACCCGGCAAGCACTTGCACAGTCAATGACGTGCATCGATCACATCACATCACAGACGTATCACACCACATCCATCAACGACAGCGCGTGGGCGGCATCAGCATTGCATGAAGTCGCGGCGGGCCGGTGCCAAAGTGCCGCCAGCCACGAACCGTGCCATCTGCGCCAGTTTCCGGTAGCCGGCGCCCGGCAGCGCGCGCCACAGGTAGGTCAGCTCGTGCGAGAGCAGCGAGCGCAGCAGCAGCAGCGCCGCCGCGTGGCCGAGCACGCAGGTGCCCATGTAGATGTCGCAGCCGGCGAGCCGCGGCGGCCAGCGGCCGACCACCGGCTCCGTCCGCACCAGGTAGGTCCACGCGTGGCCGAGGAAGGTGAGGCAGCCGACGGTTCCCGCCAGCAGGCAGCGCAGATAGACGCGCCGGTTGGCCGCCGCCACACAGTTGATGATGTACAGACAGTGGTGGTCGTAGTCGCGGACGCAGCGGGCGCACAGCCGACAGTGCTGGTCCGGCATCGCCAGCACCACCTGCCGGTCACAGGCGACGGTCACAGCAGCGGGTCACAAACACAGGTCACAGTTGAGGGTCACAGCCGTGAGTCACAAAACATGTCACAATAGAGGGCCAGGGCGTAACTTCACAGATACACGGCACAGTCCCAAGTTACCGCTCCCGGTCAAAGTTGCAGTTAGAGCTGAGAGTGGCAGCTGCAGTCAGAAATCTCGTCGCACGGGCCACAGATGCAGTGAGGGCCAGAAGTCACAGGAGCTGTAACAAATATAAATAGCACGGCTGCACGTTTCAACTCTAGAAAATGGCTGCAATAGGTCACATCTAGCGGCTACACTTCATTTATTCGAATAACAAATCAATATGAACATGTTGCATTGGTCGGCAGCCGGAGACTGCGTTGTGTCAAGGTCAGTGGTAAAACTCGGTGAGAACATCATGATTGCTCTTGAGGGATTATGCCACGCCTTTGGGAGTTTTTGAAGCAAGCCTGAAGTATTTTCCGATGGGATTACCAATTTCAGTCGCTAAATCCGCTGTCACTTCAGCGCAGGATACCTATCGACTTGCGTAGGCGATACCAGTGATTAGAACGAAATGTTAATGATATAACGAGTTCAGGAACGCATAAAACATCAACAATATTAACGGAAAAGATGGGCGGATCACCCTGAAGCCGGGCAAAACGGCCTGCTCTGGAGAGAGACGGCCATTTTTCGGCCACTCAAGGCTGGCAGCCGGTCATTTTTGCCGCGTGGGCGCGTCAGAGCGCGTGCGTCTCTGCCGGAATGGGGCCCGGTGTTAGTGGTACCGTGTCAGGCGGTGTCACCGGCGCCTGAGTCAGCCGCGTCCTCCGTCCCAGGCGCCGACCAGAGCCAACCGCTCGGGTGCAGGCACCAGCGCCGGGCAACAACGAGTGCCACAGGAAACCCGCAGAATTGTACCGGGAGTGCAACATGGCCATAACTAATAATGACCCATAAAATAACATATCGGCCTTCGGACGGACGCGACCTCCGAAACGCGTCATGCCACAGTATTCCAGACAAACTACTGCATAACGGAACTATGAATGCATCCCTATGTAGAAATGAATGACTTTGTTCATATGAAGACGTGCAGTTTTGATGAAGATATTTCAAAATATTCGTTGCAGATATTCGTTACAGGAAATCAGAACTGTGCGTCGAATTGTCGGCAGCGAGAGCCCGATTTTGAAGTTTTGACATCCCATAATAAATCAACCCTCGCCGGACCTATTGGCTTTTTATTTATCGATGGGGGTTGGTACGACCCCCTCGCCATTTTGCTTCTAATGAAGCAAGAGCTCCGTGGAAAAAAAAACGAACATGAGCGCCGTTACGAGACGCAGCGATTGATATCCGATCTTGAAGTCTCCAGGTCAGCTCGGCTTTTGGCAAATAACTTCGCAAAAAATGGCCGCAGAGCCGCCATTTTAGCAGCATCGTATTCGCCTTGCGCAGGCACGTCGAACGGTATAGGTACTTATTGTTCAGGTGAGGTTAACGTAAGGTGTTGACCTGGGGTTAATGTCAGGTCAGAGCCCCTCAGGTCACGAAGCTGGTCGAGAAGGTCATATCGCATAGCATTCGATTCGGCAGGTCTTCCCGAGTCCATTGGTGACTTTCCCGACTCACTAGCTCAATTTGATCGAGAGTTATTGACGAAAAACTCTATGGCCCTAGTGACGTCACCTAAATGACGTCGCGCAAAGTAAGCAATGCAAAAGTGAAACATTGAACCTTGCAAGGAGTGTATGAAAGCACGATTTCATATGCTTGAGATAGTTTTAGATCATTTTCGGCGCCAAAATAACAGTTTCTACGAGTAAATTTCCCAATTAACTTACGAGCCATTAACTAACAATTAACCCGCGCCCCACGGGGGGATATTCATAGCCCCCCTCCCATTTTTCTGCAATAACTTCCAAACCGCTTGACGTATCGACGCCAAACTTTCAGTACCTTCGGCTGCATCAATTTGACACCTTGTGTCAAATTATGAACTTCGTAGCTACCATAGGTCGGCCGGAAATGACGTCAGAGTGACGTCATTTGACGTCATGTTCGGCCAATTTCGACGCTCCCAAGAGCTCAGTTTTAAGATAGATCGAATTTCTTTGCATGAGAGGGCTCAGAATAAACTGCGCTATCAATCTGCTATCTCATATTTTCAAAATTTCGAAAATTTTGAAAATTAATTAAAATAAAATTCAAAATTTATATTTTTATATTTTCCCATTTTTTACTTTTCGAAAAAAACGGAATATATGTGATAGAAAACATGCTTATGACTTACTCTAGCAAGTTTTAGCTAAATATCTTCCAAAATGGCCAAGTTATACGCATTATTGCAAAAAATTCACGATTATTAATTTTTCAAATCAATTTTCAGTACGTTTCTGACATCGTACACCAATATAAATAGCACCATCGTGTTTCTTAGCTCAAACTGCATCCGATAGACATATTTTTTGTAGAAAAATTTCAACTTTGAAATTTGACCTTTTTTGACCTGAAAGTGACCTGACCTCAGCTATATTCAGATGAAAATGGCCTCAAATGACACAGGCGACACCGAATTCGAAATATATGGCTTAAATGGACCATAAAACATGTGTCACATAACCGACTTATGACATAAGATTTCCGTGACCTATGATGAACTGACCCTGACCTGAAAATCAAAGTACAAGTTTGGTACCCTCAAGGTATCTGAAGCATCTGTTTACGAGTGTGTAAACCAAAAATTAGCCTGATCTGACTTGTAAGACGGCAGCCAGAGCCCAAAAAGTGAACAAGCCAAATATCGATAAATTTTACTTTGACCTGACCTGTGACGTCATCGGTGACCTCGAGGTCAATGAAAGTTTGAACTTTGACGATCGGCCCAGTAGTTTCGGAGTTAGGAGGGGGGGCTATGAATAGCCCCCCCCCCCGTGTTAAGGTCTAGCTACACTATGCGGGATCCTACGTCCGTGATCTGCGAGTTTGCGGGTTTTGCAGAAAATCGGTACGCAGGTCAAGCTCAGCTGATAGGAAATACACAGGGTCGGCTACACTGGGGTCAGCAGATTCAGTCAAGGAAATCCCGGACGTTCAGCACAGGAAATGCCGGATAGTCAGGACGGTCAGGATGTTCCGTACCGATATAAAGTTCAGAGCTACGAACTTTTTTGCAGAATCTGCGAGATTGCGTGATATGAGACAGTTGTTGGCGCACTTGGTGGCGCACCGTATGAATCCAAGTGACGTAATTGATAATTGTTTCTTTAATTTTCATGTGTTTGTGATGTTTTATTAACAAAATAAACTAATTATCAATCAAATAGTATAGAAGATAGCAAAATTAAGCGTTTGTTGCGAAACCATTTAATATTGGTTATTATGACGTCAGCATACAATAATTTACGGATATTCTGGAAAAACGCAGAAACCGATGTCAAGGGAGTCTCGCAATCACGGATCTGCAGATCACGCACGTAGGTAATTTCCTGGACGGTCACGCGTAGTGTACATAGCTCAGCCTTTATACACAGACCCCAGTGGGGCGCGGGTTAATTAACAATTAATTAACTTTAACAATTACTTAATTCGTATAATGGTGCGGTCACTTGATCGACCTGACCTCATGCGACCTTAAGGAAAATCCGAGATATAAAAGTTGTCAGACTTCTGGAGGATACTTCTTAAAACCCGTAAGTTTCATTTCCTTCTGAAAGTTCCTCTGGCGCTGAGGGCGTTGCGAAGTTGCGTTGCGATACCTGGGGACCGTTCAGTGGTTCACTTATGACGTCTTAGGTCAGTGACCTGACCTGACCTGAAAATGCGGTCGGTGTCACAAGATCCGGCTTGAATCAAAGGTCATGTAGGCCAAGTTTCAGCTCTCCATCTCCGTCGTCTTCCGAGCTATCGCGAAAAAAACGATGTGGGGCGGCACCCGAACCCCCTCGGCCTGCGAGGGTTAACCCTCGCCGGACCTATTGGTTTTCTACATACGCGCCGGCCGAGGGGACCCCCCCCCCCCTCGCCGTTTCGCCCCTGGTGGATCTAGCGCGTCGCGGAAAAAAACGAGCGTGTGCGCCGTTACGAGACGCAGAGATTGGTACCCGATTTTAAGGTCCTAGGTCAACCGGTGACCTCTGAGGTCAGGTCAAGTGCCCCAAGGTACGGTTCAGTTTTTGGTGAATAACTTCGCAAAAAATGGCCGCAGAGCCGCGATTTTGGCAGCATCGTGTTCGTCTCGCTCAGGCGCGTCAAATGATATACTTTTTGTTCGTTTCAGGTCAACTTAGGGTGTTGACCTCAGGTCAAGGTCAGGTCAGCACCCCTAGGTCACGAAGTTGGTCGAAAGAGGTCATGTCGCATATCATTCGATTTGGCAGGTCATCCTGAGTCCATTGGTAGCTTTCCCAACTCGATAGCTCAATTTGATCAAGAGTTATTGACGAAAAACTAATATGACCTTGATGACTTCATAAATGACGTCACGCAAGGTCAACATTGCAAAAGTGACGCATCTAACCTTGCAAGGAGTGCATCAAATCACGATTCTGTGTGCTTGAGATAGTTGGAGATCGTTCCCGGCGCCAGAATAGCAGTTTTCATTTTTCCCCATTGACTTATGTATATGTAATGGTCAGGTCACGAAAATGACCTGACCTCATACGACCTTTAGGAAAAATCCGAGATATACAAGTTGTGAGACTCATAATGGTTACTAGATCCTGCAAGTTTCATTTCCCTGTGACATCTCCTCTGGCAGTGAGGGCGTTGCGAAGTTGCGACATCTGAAGACCGTTCAGAGGTTCACTTATGACGTCATAGGTCAGTGACCTGACCTGACCCAAAAATGCGGTTGGTGTCAAAAGATCCGGCTTGAATCAAAGGTCAGGTATGCCAAGTTTCAGCTCTCTATCGCCAGCGTGTTCGGAGCAATCGCGAAAAAAAAAACCTATGGGGGGGGCGGCACCCGCCCCCCCCCTTCGTCCGGCGAG